CCTCGGGAGGACAAAGTGGTTGACCATGATTATCAAACATATTCATGCCCCTGCGGGGATGGCCTCTGCTGGGCTGTGGCGAGATGGCGTGAGCGACGCTCTTACCACCAGCTAACAGCTGCTGCCCGGCAACACTGTGCGTCGAGATCTGTGACACTGCGCGGGCTTGCAATGCTCAAATGGGTGTTAAGACCGGAGGTTGGAAATCAGGGTCAGGAAACTGATCTCCAAAAGACGGAACTAGTGCTTCAAGTTCCTCTGGAGGGCAAAGTGGTTGACCATGCTTATCAAACATGTGATAGCAGCGAAACCTTTGCTCAGGGCAGAGCTGTCAGAGTCGGTGAAAGAAATCAAAGGAACGATGGCGCAAGGTCACTTCGGATTCATGCGTCTCTTTTTGGGCGCGCCTCGAAGTTGCTGGTCATGAGGTGGAGCAGCTGCGTTTGCGGTCTGACAGTTTTGGCGTACCCAAGTTGGTATATTTCGAACGTGGTACGTGCGACTCTGGGACGGGCGGTTGGCGCCACACCCTGCACTGCATGGTGGGAAGGCGCAGGCTAGGCATAGAGCGTCAGCTCTGGCTCGTGCGCCTAAGGGCTTACCACAAGTGGAGCAGCACTTGATTGTGCAGTCCGCGCATGTCCAGTGTGGCGTGACTTTGGCGTGATACCCCTTTTCCTGCGGACGAGGGTGGTTACACTTGTCACACGGTGGATAGGCACAAGTTTGACACCATGCGTCTGGTTGCGCTCTGCTGTCCATGGGTCGGCCACAGTTTGCACAAGGTTTTGCCGCACAACTTGAACATGCCCAGACCGGCGTGACCTTGGCATGGTACTGCGGGTGATTCGGCCTAGCAGCCTCACAACGTGGACAAGGTGGAAAAGCGCAAGCGCTACACCATGTGTCGGCTGCGACCTTTCCGTGCATGGCCCGGCCACACTGACTGCAAGCTTTTGGGAGACACTTTGCACAGGTCCACTCAGGCATGTTTTTCACATGGTAAGCACGGTTATCTGGGCGGGCTGCCCCACAGTTTGGACAAGGTGGGTAACCATCCCGACATGAGTCACAGTACCACTTTGGTATGTTTTGGGCATGGTACTTCAGCTTTTTATAGGGCCGAGGCTGGCCACAACCACCACTGCAAGGTGGAAACGCACAGGTCACACACCAGCCCTGGTACTGTCCTGGGATGGCATCGCACTGGAGGCATTTTTTGGTAAGACATTTTTGACAAGTCCATTGTGGCACGCGCTTGGCGTGGTATTTTCCGTTCTGGGGTCGTTTTTCTTTCCCACAGCCAACGCAGTTGGGATACGCGCAATCCAAGCACCAGGCTCCCAGTGTTGCGGCGGCTTTGACGGGCTGGGAGCACTGGGGACAAGTCTTTGGAGCTCGTTCGCGCTTGCCTTGGCAAGACCGACACACACCTGCGTTGGTTTGAGAGCAGTAGTTGCGCAGGTGGGTTATGCTTATGGCCTTATCGCACTGGGTGCAGAGGCCTTGCTTGGCCGTGGCTGAAGGCGTCTTCGCAACACAGGTCTTGCAGCGGGCACGCCGCACATCATTGGTTGCTTTTTTGCGACGAATTTCTTCCGGGGTAAACTGGTGTAGGGTTTTAGTGGGAATTTTTTTCCTTTGTCACATCTCGCACACGACAGACGCACCATGGCGAGGCAGTGGCGACAAAAGCCGGCCGTTGTGGGAGGACCGTGTTTCCCTCTGCAATGTGCACATGCATCTGGCCCATCGGTGGGCGTTGGAGGCTGCTTGCCTGACTCTGGGCTTCGGCACTGGGTGCACAGACGGTCCATTCCTTGTTCTAAAACTTTATACCATGCTTCCCGGTCCCAGACGGTGACGAAGTCTCGAAGGGGTAGAAGTCTGTCTGGCATATTGCTGCGAGGGCTGCAGTTTCGGCAATAGAGCATGACATCAGGCTGACGTTTTCGCTTGGGTGCATCTTTCTCAAACCGAGCTTTGGCTTGCGCTAAGGAGAGCTTTTTGCGGTGGAACTCCAAATACGTATGTGGACCAATGAGCTCTCCGTTTTGAAAAAGGTTAGGGGAAAAGGCTTGGGTCACACAAACGTCTTCACACCGTCTGACTCTCGAGAGGCACATGTATGCGCTGAGTTGCGCATCCCGTGACGGGGCGGTGTCCCAAAAACCTAAGTCCAGGGTGCACGCTTCCAACGTGGCACCCATGAGGGAATGCGCTGTTCCGGAATAGTCGGATGCCACTGGAAACCCTCTGCGGGCGATGGTCGCGCGACCCCCTGGCTGTAGGGTCCACTGCTGGACCGTGGGTTTGATGCGTGCAACGCCAGGTGGCAGGGTTGGGTGTAGTTGCCATGTCGCACCCGGAATCTGCACGTAGAGCGCCAAGGGGATATTTTCGAGGACCAGTTCTGCGCCGGGCGTGCGAGAGAGTCGTGCAATGTCAAGTTCGTGCAAGGTCCAACTATATAGGGTGCCACGGGTATTTTTGAAGAGTCCAAAAGGTCTTAGTTCTGGTAAGGTTTGGGTGATACGTATGGGCATGTTGGGCAACAAGGGTAAGATTCCGACAATCCCACCGGTGGCTTCCACAAGGTCCGTGTTACTTAGGCCAGAACAGTTACTTATAAACTACTTACAAACTTACTTATACTGACTTATGACCTTACTACTTAGACCAACTTATAACCATACTTATAAGTAGGCTAAGTAGAGCGCAGGTGTTTGACAAGAGCTTGTTTTTTTAACTTTTTTTACTTTTTTACAAAAACCTGTTTTTTTGAGGTTGTAAATTGTTATGTTTTAAGATTTTTTTTTTGTAAATCCTGGGTTTTTTCATTGTGTGAGTGCTCTTCTAAAACCATCCCTGTTTGTAGACCAAAGAGGGGCGAGGCAGCCGCCTGTTGAACATGTCAATTCCTACAGCGGTGACACCGCCACCTAAAGAGGACACACCGCCAACCCCACATATTTAAACGCAACAGCGACAAAACAAAGCGGTGTGTGGGTCAGCGTGGTAATTCTTTTTCACAGCAAGGTAGTGAGCACATCATCGTCCCATCGCCACCACGGAGGTAGCGTCCATGACTCGCTCAAAGCAGGCGTGAACAAATGGGACTATTGGCTTTGCCAAAACGCGTCCCCAGTTCCGTGACTTCAGGCACTGCAGCTTCTTCAAGTCTTCAACCAAAAGCTATATGCGGTTTGCTCTCCAAAAACGATTTCCTCCACCACACCAGCAATACCAATGGCCTAGAGAGAGCTTTCCTACAGAAACCGAGGCAATCAAGAAACAAGGGAGTTCCTTTTTCCTTTGGTGAACGCTCAATGTGGCCAGACATCTGACGACTACATCTGACGACACTTGACCTCACCCTGACTACACACGATGTCAGAACGAAGTCAGGCCCGACGACACCCTGACGACACACACGATGTCAGAACGAAGTCAGGCCCGACGACAGACAACCTAACGACACACGATGTCAGAACGAAGTCAGGCCCGACGACACCCTGACGACACACGATGTCAGGACGAAGTCAATATGTTTTTAATTGCCCGACGACATCTGACGACACACGATGTCAGAACGAAGTCAGGCCCGACGACACCCTGACGACACACGATGTCAGAACGAAGTCAGGCCCGATGACACCCTGACGACACACGATGTCAGAACGAAGTCAGGCCCGACGACGCCCTGACGACACACGATGTCAGAACGAAGTCAGAAGGAAGTCAGACGATGTCAGGCCATCACTACGGGCAGGCTCTCCTTTCAACACCAATCTCGGAGATTGCACTTCCTCCCATTCCTTTCTCTCAACACACGCCCACGTGTTTCGCAGATGCACGCGAAAGGGTACCCTTCTTTCCTTTCCTCCCCTATCTTTTTTCCATTCAAACCCGGCCGAATGTTACAAACCTACAGCGGACACACCGCCCGCCTAACCTATACTTACAGCGGACACACCGCCACTTATAACCTCAACTGCGGTCTCTCGCAGCCATCTATAGATCGAATTCGCCTGCAGCGGGTACACCGCCCAACAAACGCTTTTCACCCTGTTCATATAGGGCTCTCTGTCTGTGTCTGTATGTGTGTGCGTAATGATGTTCACGTCTATAGAATTTCTTTTATGTTTGCAACAGCCCACAAAAAACAAACTACAGAATGGACTATCTTATGAAACTTTGCCCACTCAACTAACCCTCAGCAATTTCATATCAAGGGGCTGTAATGTTGACATTACGCTGTAGACTGCTGATTCCAGCGTTTTAATCAAATCCACACACAAAAACCTAAAAAAAATCAACTTTTTCATGACATTTTTTAGAAAACCATGAAAAAACTTTGAAAAAATTAGGTTTTTGTAAGTAGGCTAAGTGCGCCCCTAAGTAGAATAAGTGGGTTTTCGCTTCCGTACTATTCCGACTTATAACTGACTTATAAATGACTTATAATTTTTGTATATACACTGTATCTAGCGTAAGTCTGGCCGAATACTTATGGACACTTAACCCATTTACCATCACATATAACCTTACATATCCACACATATAACCTTACATATCCAAACATATATCTACGATATGTAAGGCGGACCTTGTGGTTGGTCACGCCGCTGCAGCCAGTTGCTTTTCCGAGCTTGCAACTCAGCCGGTGCATCG